TGGTCCTCCAACATTGAAGAGGCCTAAACAAGACCATTTAATGAAGGGAAGTCCCACCTGGAACCAGTTGAAGCAGAGGCTCAGCTAGTGGATGAAGATAAGGACTGAACAGAGGGCCAGGTCTTCTAGTCCAGCCCCCAGCAAGGGACCCAAGGCCATATGCATATGTGTGGGTAAAATGTCCCAGGAATGTGGAAGAAAACTTCTTGGGGCTCCTGTGTCCAGGAGCTCAGTGTAATGTCATCCCAAAACCTGTCAATGAAATCTTGCAAGGGGCCTAAGGTTAAATGGGGAGTGTAAGGGGATGCTACATTTGATAAGACTAAGGTGACAGTTTGGGTAATAATTGGAAAATTTAAACAGATGCTGTATGAAGTTGCATTTCCCTTACCTGAGTGTATTATTGATATGGCTATTATGTCTAATTGGGGAGCACTCCCTCTACCTGATATCATAAAACTGTAGGTGTGTAAATCTGCCCTTAGGTCAGCATTGATTGGGCATGCTAAATGAGAACCATTAGAATTGCTAAAACCTACTCAGGTTGTTAATTTGAAACCCTATAGGATATGTGGTGGACAAAAGGAGATTACTGCTTTGATTAGACATGTTAAAGGCTTGAGTATTGGTGCCAATAAATTCTCTGTATAACAGCCCTCTATTGCCCATGAAAAAGGCAGATGGTTCATGGAGGCTGACAGTATACTATTGAGGCCTAAATAAAGTAGTACCACTGGTGACTTCAGCTGTTCTAGACATGGTATCAGTGGTGCAGAAAATACAGCAGTCTAAAGGAGGCTGCTATGCAAGGACTGGTCTTGCAAATGCTTTTTTCTCCATCCCTATCTTGGAAAACAACCAACAGCAGTCTGCTATCACATGGGAAGGATCTCAACACACTTTCAGCGTTTTACCACAGGCTTATTTGAAGTCACTGGCTTACTGTCATGAAGCGACTTGGATTTGGTGCAGATTTCAAATATGGTGATACACTGATGATATGTTAATGTCAAACACAGAACAGGCTAGAGCATATTTGAAAACAATGATGGCCTACATGACCAACAGAAACCAGTTAATAAATCCAGCGAAAATCCAGGGCCCTGCCCAAATGGTGAAATTCTTGGGAATAACTTGGGCAGGAGCAACAAAAAGTAAGTTGCTGTCACTACCTATCCCCAAGACTAAGCAGGAAGCCTAACATTTAATTGGTCTATGTAGACTTTGGAAAATACATATTCCACATCTGGGAATACTGCTGGTTCACATTCATACAAACATTCAGAAGAAAACTAGGTTCAAATGGGGGCCTGAGCTACAGCAGGTTATGTCTGACTTACAGAAAGCAGTCTCACTCTTCCTGCTGTTAAGCCCTTATGATCCACACTCAGACATGATTTTGGAAATGTTTGCTCTACAAGCTTATGCAGACTGGCGTTTATGGCAAAAACCTGAGACCACCACCTTATGGCGACCATTGGGATTCTGGAGTAGAAAGTTTCCAGATGCTGCAGCACGATATACACTATTTGAAATGCAATTACTTGCCTGCTGTTGGGCATTGATTGAGACTGCCTCGAGGACAGGAGATGAAATTATCATGAGACCTGAAATACCCATAATTTCTTTGGTGATGTCAGAAAAACATTCTAATAAGTTGGTGCCCCAAATAGTTCCACAATAAAATGGAAATGATTCATACAGGAACAAGCTACTCGAGGAAGGCAGGGAGGCACCCACCATATCCATGAGCAGGTAGCCTCTTTTCCCACAGGCCTTACACTGGAAACATCTGAGAAGCAGCCAGAGCCCTTTGCCCCATAGACAGTGCCCTATGAACAACTTTCTGCTGACCAGCAGAAGGCTGCTCAGTTCACAGATGGCAGTTCTAGGGTACATGGACATTTTATATGGAAAGTTGCTACATTAAGACCAACAGATGGAAAGACCCTGATTGAAGAAGGTAAAAACAAGTCAGCTCAATGGGCTGAACTGCAAGCTGTCTTCTTAGCTGTGATGGAAGAATTGTGTAATGGTGGGAGCCCATCTGGTTGGATTTTTACTGATCTGTGGGCAGTGGCCAATGGCCTGGTTATATGGTCAAGCAAATGGGAAATGGAAAATTGAATTATTAAGGGGAAACTCATGTGGGGGCATGGACCTACAGAAAGCACTCTGGGAATTTAGATGGCCCATTGGTGTAAACAATATGTCTATGACCATTAGAACAATTCCCTTCCAGGATCAGAAGGCAATTGAAATCAACAAGTGGACATGTTATGCTCCCTTGAGGTGGTCAATTGGGTCCATGATATGAATGGACATGGGGTACTAATGCAAGGGTGAGTTGAGCTGAATCTAGAAACATCACTCTTGCATCCTCTGAGGCACAAAATACCAGTAAGGACTGCTCTGTCAGCAATAAATAAAGAGGATACAGATGGATATGTGGCAGATTCCCCAAGGGGAAGACTCCACACATAGCTGGCAAGTCGATTATATAGGACCAAGGATGTCAGTGGCTCCAATGGGTTCTCACAGGATACTTATCTGGACTTGGCTGTGCACATCCCATGGTAGATGCAATGCCAAAAACACCATTAAAGGACTGAAACAAAAGATGCTATACCAATTGGGCCACCAAGTTATATTTCTTCAGACCAAGAAACACACTTTACAACCCACAGAATGCAACAATGGAGCAAGCAACATATTAAATGGACATACCATGTTGCATACCATCCTCAGAGTAATGGTTTGATAGGGAATTGCAATGGTCAATTGCAATTGTAAGATTTGTTACCTAAAACAGGGAGATAAAGGCATGAAGGGCTCACTCCCATACCTCCTTGAGTGTATGCTCACACTCAACATGAAGGGGATAAAGGAAGGTTTACCATGGACAGCTCCCTGTTTCTTTGGAGGATCTAGAGAAGAGGGGGTGGGGGAGGATGCTGGTGCCATGGTACAATTCTTCCCACATCACCTGAAATTGCTTTTTTTCTCCTGCCAGAAGCTGTGGTCCCAGGACCCGGGATGCAGCTGCTGGTGCTAGATGCAAGGGTGATCCCTAAGGAAGACTGTAACTACATCCCTGAACCTGTATGCCAGAATTCCCAAAGGCCTTATGGGATGGCTTGTATCTTCCCCCATCTGGCAAAACTGGGGTTGACAGTGAATACTGCCATATTGCCCAGTAGTCAAGACAGCCCAATGTTGTACCTATGTAACCCTACCCAACATGAATGGAAGCAGACTGAGGGGGAAGCACTTGCTGGACTGGTTTTGCTACCAGCATCTGGACTGGCACAGCAGCAGAACCTGATGTCCCTCCCAAAGTGGGAATGTTTGGGTAAAAATAAAAGACAAATGGAAGAAAGAACTAATAGCTGAAGATAAAGGAATGAATAAGCAGGCTATGCAGTACGGTCGGGGGGGGGGGCATTATGCTGATACCTAAAGATTCAGAGCAAGGGAATAACCTTCTCTCAGTTAAATTTTTTCAGAGGCCAGAAAGGGTGAAGGTGAGGCAAATGTCTGGAGGACCTGACCAGATCAGATGGACACCTGCAGCAGACCTGGACAGCGGCTACCTGAGTAACCTCACCCTCAAGACTCTTTGCCCTACTGAAAGACTAATTGTTAATAGCTTTGGGACTGGTAAAATGATTGGGAGGGGCAAGTTAGTCCTTCAACTACAAAAGGGCCAATGGCTAGAAGAGCCAGGGGGTGGCATGCAGTGCAGTGAATTGGTTAATATGGCCCTTCTAGCCAGTCCTCTGCTTTGTGATTATTATAAATCCTAGCCTCTATGCATGTTTAGGGTGCAATGTATCTTGAGTCCACCTTGCTGGAGGCTTTGACTCAAGTCACCCCTTACCTTCCTTGAGGGTATTTATGCGAATGTTCTGGCAAAGTTTGCTCTCTCTTGCTCCAAATCCCGAATTTTGGTTCATCATCTCACCCCTGGATTTGAGATGGCAGCCAGTTGTCTGGTCTGCCAAAATTGGGCTTACCAGCCCCTGCAACCGAGTGAGTTCCACAGTTAGGGGATTTGCCAGACTCCTACCTCCACCACCACATGAGCCATTTCCTTAGCCATGTGTGAATTCTGAGAGATGTTACAGTGAAATAAGGAACCCCAAGGCGGAAGAGAAAGTACTGACAGAAGAGGCTGACGTTAGAGATGATGGAGTGGTACAGCAGTTTGGAAAAGCTGGACATTTGGGACATCTCTAACTTCTGCCTCGTGTAGGGACCAGCCCTGCACTAATTCTTCTAAGAAATTATTCAAGCACCCCTATTGTGTTTTTACTTGAAACACAACATAGCTGCCTCTTTAGCTGCTAGAGGATCAAACTGTTTGTCACCAAACCCCACCAAGAAAACAGTTTACAATATTTGACTCCCATTACCATGGAGCAATCTACTTCCTTAGTGATATTGCCTCAGAAACCCAAGGAGGGGTCACTATGAGTCGGGTCTGACTCAATGGCACATAACAACATTACCCAAGAAACAACAAGGCACATTATGCAGTGAAAATTAGCTACTTTTATTGTGTTAGAAACTTTATAAAATGATTTGCATCTCTACGTGAGAATCATTGCTTTGAATAGCTGGGAATGTAACTACTGCATAGGGAAAAAATTACAAACTAGCTTCACTGCCTCTAGGCTATGCTCTTACTGATCTCAGAGGGTACCACAAAGCAACAATAATAGCTTCTGGCAAATGGAGAAACAACAGCAAAGTCTTGCAGTGAAGCTGTGATTATTAAAGTTTAACTATTTGTTGTACCAATCCTACAACTTTTCTACATTTTTCTGTCTATACAATCCTACACCTATAAGACAAACACCAAGCCAAGTGGTTTGAAATGGGACAGATTCAACAGAAGACAGAAAAGGGAATGGGAGCTACTTCAAGGTCTAATGACTGAGAGTCCAAGGTTTTTCTTTTAATGGGCTGTCTAAAGACTGCAGGTATCAAAGCTCTTCTTACTTCTCTAGGAGTGATTCTAGCTCTTCTTGCAAAGAGCTGAGCTGCTCCTTTTCTCGGTCTTCCTTTTGTTTGAGTTCATCCAGCACAGCTTGGAATCTGTTCTTGAGAGCCAGGTTTTCCACTTTCATGATGAGATCCTCCTGTCGTTTTGCCCTGTCCTGGGTCTCTTGGAGCTTGCCTTTCATGTTATCAATTTGTTTCTGAATTCCCATAACCAGCTGATTGGTTCCTTCATTTTCTTGGTGCTGTTCATCTGATTCATTTAGCTTGTCCTGTAGCTGTCTCTCCAGATCTTCCTCAGTGTCAATGATGTTTATATCTTCTTCATCTTGATGCTGTGCCTCATCTTCATCTTCACTGCTGCTGCTGAGGTCATTGAATATCTCTCGAAGCTCATCATGTTCCAATGAGTCATGGCCCTGCCTATGGCCAGACATTCCTGGAGAAGAGATATCAAGGCCCTGATTTTCTGTCTCTTTTGTTTCATCTTCAGCAATTATTTCCCAACGAGTACTGACAGCTTCCGCATCTGTACTCAGCAACCGCTTCACTTCCTTTTCCACATCTGGAGATTCAATATACTTCTTCTTTGCTGTCTTCCGGAACCTTCTCTTTCGGACATTTTTCAGAGGCAGAGTAATTCCATGGTTCCAGATAAACTTTTTCTCTTTGTCCTTGTCCTTTTTCTTGCTTGCTTTGGGATCAGCAGTAGCAACTGGTTCTTCCACAGGAGGATACAGGTCACCATCAACTGTGGATACAAGCATCTGACAGATATCAGCTGTCTTGTAAAAGGTTTTTTTATCAATGGTTTTCAAGCTTTCCATAACACAAGGCAAATCCACCAATTTTGAGGCCAATGGAACCCGGTCCACTCTGACAATTCCATGACGCCCATCAGGGTGTAACTCAATTGACAGTCTGTCTTTCAGGTTGACATGGCCAGATTGTACTGCTCGCCTCACAGTAGAGGCATATTCCGGAGGTAGACGTAAGATAAACTGGCTCTCTAGTTCATGAGGCGCATCATCTTTGCTCTTACTCATCTTTATTTCACTTCTCCTTTGATAAGCACTTGTTTCACTGTAAAATTCCAACTATTGCAACAATTAGAAAGGCCACTTTGTTATGAATTTAAATCTTTAATTACACAGAGTTCTTAAGAAGAAAAGCAGCAAAGCGTCTATGTCGTCTTAATCCTTAATTAAACCCCAGGAATTTTCTCTAAATATGCTGTATTTAGAATACCAGTTGTTACTGGCATTCGCTCATTTAGTTACTTTCATTTAAATCAATTAGATGCAAAGTCAAGTTCCAGCCTCTAGGTGCCGCTGCCGGACAACGTAGAGCAAGCTAGCAAGCAGAAAAGCAAATGGCGGTGCCTGCGGAATGATTTTTCGGCACAGAAAGCAAGGTTCAGCAGACACTCCTAATCCACAAAATCCCGAAACAAAGATATTCAGAAAGTAGGAGTCAGTAAGCCCTCTTCGCCTCGGGTACTTACAATCCAATGATGACTGTAAATGCAGCTTCTCTGAAGCGCAGCAGACGAAAGAGAATCTGCTCGGAGCAAGGCGGCTGGGAGCCGAGTCTCGATTCCTTTGTTCTTGTAACGCTCAGCAAAGTGATGCGCTGCCGATTACCAAAGAAAGTTCCCAGAATAGGCAGCTAGAAAGTTTGCCGAGGTCCGTAACTCCCCAGCGCCAAACAAAGCAACTCGGCAGCGCTGCAGCTCCGCCCAGCACCTGGATCCGGAGCTGTAGAACAAGCGGAGAAGAGAGCTCTACGTCACGGCGTGGGGCGGGAGGCGGCTGTGAGTGACGGCACGGCCCAGGCGGAAGTGTGGAGTGGCCCACCGCGCGCAGGCGCAGTTGGACTGCTAGGCGGGGAAGAATATTTTTCGCGAGAATGTGGTGTTTACGGGCTGAAAATAATGTTTATAAAGAGCTTTTAGTCTGAAATTATTTAGAGACAGTGGTTCCAAAAAAGACATAGATCTACCTTTCTTTCTTCCATCTCCTGTTAAACCAGGGCATTTTTCTGATCGCCTGGGGGCTGGATGGAGTTTAGGCTTCCGGATATTCCTGGAGATAGCGGCTTCCGTGCGGAAAGCGTCTCTGCTTCTGGAAATATCTCGGATGCCCTCCCAGAGTATATCCCATCGGAGCCTATACAAGAATTTAAAACAATGGATTTTAAAGTACTCAAACTAATACAATGAGGAGGACATGCTGCCCACCAAATAGTTAAATGTTTACATTTTGTCGATTTTGGAAATGCCCCGAAAGGACCCATGATCTCTGGATCTCTATTTGGAGGATTCCAAGGGAACAGAGGTGATCTTTCCTTTTAATGTGCTTGGCGTAGATATAAATGTAAACAAATGATCTTCTAGAGGCATATGTTCATTTAGGGCAGAATTGTCTGGTAGACACATGGTCTTTTAAAGTAGAATACGATTCAAGTATTATTCCCTCTTATTTACCAGTAATATTTTAATGCATCTGGAAATCATTTTGGATTTTCTTTTTCACTCCACCTCTACTATTTTCCTCCTTTCTGCCTGTCTCTTCTATAGGAAGTCAGGTATTGATCAACACCTATTTATAGTATTTCACTGTAACTATGTAACCAAACCAAATCTACTGCCATTGAGTCGCTTTGGACTCACAGCGACCCTATTGGACAGAGTAGAACTGCCCCATAGAGTTTCCAAGGCTGTAAACGTTTATGGGAGCAAACTGCCTCATCTTTTTCCAGAGGAGAGCCCGGTGAGTTAGATCTGCAGACTTTCTGGTTAGCAGACGAATACCTTAACCATTGTGCCACCAGGGCTCCCTAACTGTGTAATTTGTTGTTGTTATGTGCCATCGAGTCAAACCTGACTCATAGCGAGCCCTCCTTGGGTTTCCGAGGCAGTATCACTACGGAAGTAGGATTGCCCAACCTTCCTTCCGAGGAGTGGCTGGTGGGTTTGAACCGCAGCCGTCTGGTTAGCAGGCAAGTGTCTTAGCCGCTATGCTACCAGAGCTCCCTAACTGTGTAATAGTTTCCACTTATTCCTACTCATTTCCATTTGTTTTCAAATAGGCCTGTTTGGTAAAGATCAAGGCCATTTAGAATTTAATTTCTATCTTTTGTTAACATAACTTTCTGAATTTAAGAGAACACTCTTAAAATCTGATTAACATTTCCAAAATAGCTTTATTTATGTACATTTTAATTATCTCCTTCACCCCAAACTAAAAGCTTCATTCATAGGGACCTTTTCTATCTTGTTCCTTGTGTCCCAGAACACAGGACATACACGCAAAAAAAGTTGCTAGTTGAATAATTCAATCAATCCATCTAGAAAGAACATAAATATAGATTTTTGTGATTATAGAACATATTACATTCCTATAATAATTTGTGGGAGAAAATACATTCTCTATAACCTTTAAATGAGATAGAGCCACTTTATATATATTTCTAACACATAAGGCTTTCTTTTTCTGTCCAGTAAATAAATGACAGTGCCAGTTGTTAGGAAATAGAAGAGATTTACTAATAGTGTATGTGAATGTGTCCTTTTTTTTGTGTAGGTAGACTGTGTTACTGTATCATAGAAAGAAATTAAATTGCCTGACACCAGTTTGAGTCTTTATGTTCATTTTGAAGGAAAAAGAAGCCCTTCCTAATGACTGTGCATTATTGTTCTTTGTTCCACAATGGTTTGAAGAATGTTAGCTGTCTCATCTTTAATTTCCAGGACAATTTATTTCCTCTTTTTTGATTAAATTTTTTAATGTGCTTGTCCTTCGAGTATGCCTGATTTCATAGATATAAGAATTTAACATTCTGACTTCTGCATAATGTTTTATATAACCAGATAAAATGTGAGGCCATATTTATACATTAAAATTATCCAAATACTATTTTGCCTTTTAATTCCCTATGAGTTTTATGATGCTCAAATATTCTTGTCACCAAAAAAAGCTTGATAGAAATTCTAATTTTCCAAAATTATATCATATTTTAGTTAGTAAGTCTTTAAATGGAAGATTCTGTGAGATAATTAAAGGGATTAACTGAATTTCCCTAAAGGACCTAGTACCTTCAATCCTGAAGCTTAGTCTCTGCTTTTGAGTGTAGCACATGCTCTAAATGCTATATTTGGGGGTCAAATTATATTGACCTTAATATGTGACCTTAATATGATGATGTGGTTCCTGCCACATCATCATCACCTTAATGTCAGTTGTTGAAAGAATTACCCTTCTGTGGTTGTTCTATGGAGTATCTATCTGCGATAACATATTTGGGGAGAGCAAGAAATTCTCCAGTGTGAAATCAAGTTCTCCAAAGGCTTCCTATGGAGCCTGTAATACAGATTCTTATGATAAAGGAGTATGACAGTCAGGCTACTGCTAAAACATGTTTGAAAAATTCCCTTTAATAAACTTTAAAGTTCCTTTGGAGGTTAAATATAGGTGATAAGAGAAGTCTTGATTATATTTTGGAGGCAGAAAATCATAGGATGAGGAATAGCAAACACACACACACACAGCTTATTTACTGCTTATTTACACACATAGCTTATTTACTCACCTTTTTGACTGCTGACCAGAAGGCTGGCAGTTCAAACCCACCAGCCACTCCTCAGAAGGATGATTGGGTAATCTACTTTTGTAGACATACCGCCTCAGAAACCCAAGGAGGGGTTGCTATAAGTCAAATCAACTCAACGGCAGTCAGTTTGGTTTTTGGTTTTTGGATGTCACCTTTAAAAAAAAAAAAAAATCAGGTTACCTAAAAATTGGTACAACAGGCTCCTGTGTTAAGTAGGAAGCATTCTACAGTGGTTTTAAAAAAAAAAAAAAAAAAAAAAAAACCTAGTGCACTAGTTTTTTTTTTTAAACCACTGTAGAATGTTGTTGTTATTTGCCGTATGAGTCGGGGCCGACTCGACGGCAAATAACAACAACATTCTACAGTGGTTTAAAAAAAAAAAAAAAACTAGTGCACACTAGTTTAAACAATAAGAAAGTTTATTATCTAAAAACTTAGTTAATTAAATTTTAAAAAAAGGCAGCATTGTCCAAACAATAGAAATGGATTTTGGGTTTAACCACGCCTGCCTCAATAAAAGTCATTAAGGGAATACCCTAAGCCAGTAATTCTCAGCATGGGAAGGAGTACATTTGGTAATGTCTGGAAACATTTTTAGTCATCACAACTTGTAGAAGCAGATGTTTCTGGCATCTAGTAAGTAGCGCTCTGGTGGCTAGTGCCTAAAGCACTTGACTGCTAACCACAAGGCTGGTGGTTCACACCCACCAACCACTCCTCTCGGAAGGAAGACTGGGCGATCTACTTCCTAGAGATACTGCCTCAGAAACCCAAGGAATGGTGGGTATGAGTCAAATCAGTCTACAGCAGTGAGTTTTGGTTTGGTTTGGTTATGGTTTTGGAGAGTGAGTAGAGGCCAGGAAACTGGCTTACAATTTACCGGACAGCCCCCACAACAAAGAATTTTCTGGTTCAAAATGCCAGTATACCAAGATTGAGAAGCCCTGGTCTAAACTCATTACTTTAAGCCTATATTCCTAATTGGAATGAAATTACCATTATTTTTAATAATGTAATGAGATTACATTACCAATATACTACCATTATATTTATCAGGACCGAATGCAGCTAAGAGGTTGAGCTTCCCCTTAGGGAAGGGAGTGGTAGAAACCTGAACTAAAAAGAAGTGTTAGAAAAGAAGGAAGGGGATGGGCATCAGTAAACCAAACAAAATCAAACCCTCTGCCATTGAGTTGATTCTGATACATAGCGACCTTTTAGGACAGAGTAGAACTACCACATAGGGTTTCCAAGGCTATAAATCTTTATAAAAGCGGACTGTCTCGTCATCTTTCTCCTGCGGAGAAGCTGATGGATTCAAACCACTAACCTTTTGCTTGGCAGAATACTTTAATCACTGTTACCAAATCTCCTTGGGCACCAGTAGTGTCCATTAAAGAACTGATTATTTGTGGAATTATAAAAACATATATAT